GATTAAACTTATGATAACTGATTTCTTCAGTCAATCATTATGAATCTTACTCTTTTTCTTGAAGAAAATGTTAATTTTTTTCTAATAAAAGTTTCAAAATTCATCCAGGAATAAAATCGAACATTACTTAATGCATTATACATTTTCCTTCAATTATCCTATTTTTCTTGAAATAAAAACCGAAAATAAAAAAAAATAAACTTCATGTTTTTCTTATATTTTTGGTAATTATCAAAAGAAAAATCATTTCAATAATAAGAGTCATAGAAAATATCATTGTTATGAACGTTGTTCATAAAATTATGCCCACAAGAACATTATTTTTAATTTCATCAAGAACACAAATGATAATTATCATGTATTATAATGCTTAAACAATCCTTAAATTTCGGTATTTATCCAATGTATTTAAAACTATCAACAAATACTATTTATTAGATAATATTGTGCTGTAAAATTATCTAAATGTTTTTATGTCATCATATTGAATTATTATATCGTTTAATGATAAAATTAAATAATGAATTGATATTGATAGATGAGATTGTTACTTTTTGTTTTATTCATTAAAACAATGGTCATTTATAATTCTAAATGACAATAATTTGAAGAATACTCGAATAATTTTACAATAGAAGATTATTTGAAAAAAAATTGGGTGATACTTAGTATGATTGGATGAAAATCGAAATTTATAAATTATTTTTGCTTTATCATTCATGTAAATTTTCATTTAAATAAAATAATGTTTTTTATGTCTAACATAAATAAAAAATAAACAAGAAAATTGATTTGTATCTTATTTATTTAAAAAAAATAAGTTCTATTCTAGATGAATCTTCGTATACGCAACTATCCACCGAAATTTTGGCTTCAGTTACATAAACACGCAATAGATCTATTACTACCTCCACCATCAAGAAAACCTCGACGTCCACCAAGAAATAAAATTAAAAATTGTCTTACTTCTCTCTCACCTCATATTCAAAAATTCATTTATTGTGGAGCTATCGATAAACGTAAAGGTGAAATTAGAGCAAGTAAATTTCCGCTTACTATTGAACAGTTTAATATAACGAAAAGTCTTTGTTTAACTCGTCAATACCAACCGGTCGTTTTACTAGAAGAAGAGTTAAAACTCGAATATAATTTTATTCATAAATCTTATGTACGAGGTATTCAAAATATTCAATTTAGACTTCAGACACAAAAATCAATTGTACCAGGACAATACCCAATCCTTCTTCTTCGTATTCGTTATCATCAAAAAGCTCCTATTCTACATCAATAATTCCATCGTATCATCTATGTGTACGATTGAACTCATCGATTTGATGAAAATAAGAATAGAGTTTATGAGAGACAACAGGAAGATAACTTCGCATATAGTTCAATGGATAATAGTGTAGACGACAAGACACAGGTTCGAATCCTGTGTGAAGGAATTTTTTTTTCGTTCTTCTTCATTAATAACCATTAATAATCATTTAATTTTGTTTTGCTTATGATCAGAGGGACCCTCTCGAGATCTAAACGGGGACGGGGGGTAATCGATGGTGCTGATTACGAATCTGCTATTTTTTTTTACCGAAAAAATTTCCTTAAAAACCGCTCCGGGGTGATATGTTCGTCTTTTTACAAATCACATCCACACCCACACCAAAAACTACTTACAGACTACAAGAAGGTAGTTTATGTCTAGTAGACTATTTTAAAATCTTTCAGAGAATGATTTCGGTAATCAACGGACTGTTATTCTAGAAATATGTTAGATGATCAAGAGTAATACATACTTATATATTTTCATGGTTTGATATTTCACCAGAAAACCTTCAGCGCAACTTCTACAAGATTAAAATGTAAAACACAATGGAGATATTTTATCTATGATGAAGAAACTTTGCCACATCTACTTAGGACATACTCAAAGTAGTGATAAAAATATCTTGATTTCGTATAGAATGCTTGAAGAAATTTTCTTTTTATATAGACTTGTAGTAAAAACAAAGCTCTACATTTCTATATTATTTGATCATTTTTCATCAAATATCATAATAAGAAAATTTTCATAAGACTTGCTTAGCTATGATATGTAACAATAACATTAGTCCATATTATCTTCGATATGTAACAATAACATTAGTCCATATTATCTTCGATATGTATTCTCGTCTTGACTTTCTTTTCTTTATTCTTTTTCTTATCTCTTTAATCCCTAACCCTCTATATTTATATATAAAGACACCTGTTTCATTTGTTTGATATGTTTGTGTAGTTAGTTATTAGTATGTTTTAAGGTAAGTTAAATAAATAAAGTTACGTAAAATCGTGACATTGTTCATGTCTATTTCAGATGTATAAAGAAAATTTTCACTTTTACGTTAAAGTACGCACTGCACTTGATATTAAAGCAAGAGTTATTCATGATGAACTGTGCTCTTTTTGTGATGATGAAGCTCCTACTCTCAGAACCGTTGAAAAATGGTCTAAATGATTACATGAAGATCGAGAAGCTGTTCAAGACAAAGAGCGATCTGGTAGGCTTGCCACTGAAACTACATCTGACAATATTGAAGAAGTTCACATCCTCATTAATGGTAATCCTTATATTATAATTGAAGAGATGGAAATCTAAACTGACCTAAACCATGGCACCATTGAACGCATTATCTCTGATCATCTGAATCTTAGAAAAAATTACTGCTCGTTATATACCAAAACATTTGACTACTTCGCAACGAGTTGAACAGGTTGGGATATATAAAGAAAATTTAGCAAATTTTGAAGACGAAACATGGCGATTATATGATGTAATGACATATGACCAGTCATGGTTTTATCATAAACAAATTGATCGAAAATCATCTCATTCTGCTTGAGTAGCAAGATAAGACACTCCCTCTATAGTGGTTCGACAAAATTCTTTTGCTCCAAAAGGTTTATTTTCATCATTTTTTTAAATCAACCAACCCTAATTTAATTCGTCATGTTGAATCTGGACAAACTGTTGATCATCAATATTACATCGAAAACTGTTTGCAACCCGTTATCGAAGAAATCAAGAAGCAAGGACCTTCACTAGGTACTCGTGCTATTAAAATTTACTACGACAATCGAACGTTCCATACTCATAAAGTGTGTCCGATTATCTTGAATCGTAAGGCGTCACTATAACACTACATCCACCTAATTCTTCGGATGCAACACCATGTGGTTTTTGATTATTCGACTTAATCAAATAACATTTAAGCGATCAAAACGAGGCTGAATCAGTACATTGCACTGTAACTAAGTTTATGAATTCTTTGAATGAAGAAGAGTATAAGAAAATCGTTGATAAATGGATTCAATCAATGCAATTTGTAGGGATAATGAAGGTGGTTATTTTGAACATTTGATGAAATAAAAGTTTGTTGAACTTGTTTTTGTATTTCTTTTTTTTATTTCATTGTCACTACTTTTCAATACTTTTATAAATGTACAAAGTTAGATATTAAAAGAAACAACAAACAAAAATAAACGAAAGACATAACAAGAAAGAAGAATAGATTCAGATGAGAATGTACATAGAAGATATTATGGATTAAAATTATTATTACATGTCATAACTAAACAGATCTTATAGAAATTTTATTATTATGATATTACATAAATAATGATCAAATAGTGTAGGAATATGGAGTCTAGTTTTACTACAAGTCTACATAAAAGGAAAGTTTCTTCGAGTGTTCTATAAGAAACTGAGGTGTCTGCGCCACTACTTTTGGTATGCCCTAAGTAGCAGTTCTTGTAGTACTTGATGTAGTGCTTGTTGTAGTACTTCTTGTTGTAGTGCTTGTTGTAGTAGTTCTTGTTGTAGTTGTAGTAGTTCTTGTTGTAGTTGT